TCTGCAAAGCCCCCCCCAGGCCCCGTGCAGCCTGGCTTCCAGACTCCCTGCCTGCCGGGCGGCGGGGGGCTGGTCCCCGCGGTGGTCACTCGGGTGCAGCGGTCACACTCACGTCAGTTGCGTGCGGCCCTTGCTGCCCTGCCAGAAATAACCCTGCTCTGCACGCGCCGCTCTTAGCAGGGACAGGGGAGCCGGCTGGCTCAGTGTGGGCCCCACATGCTACACACCAGCGTCCGGGGGGGAGTTTCTTGGTTTCACTATTTCACACACAAAAAAATCACAGGAGGCTTCCTGGGTAACCTTCCCCCACAGGAAGCAGCGCGGTGACACATTGCTATGGCGTGTGCGCCCCTGCTGGAAAAGCCTGGCCCTGTAAATAAGGTCTGCGCCCTGCCCGTGCTAATCCCAAGCGTGCGTGTTACTTTTTACTTGTGAGTCACTCGGCACGCTGAAGAACCAAGAAACTACAATAGGAAACAGGGATCTGGGGTCCGCCCTTAATGGCTTTCAGTGCCGGATTGTAAAGCCTAATGGCAGTCATTTGTCTGGAACCTTTAGAAATGCTTGGGAACAGGCATCTCTCCTAGTCAGGGTGTCAATGCAGCCCCTGCGCTAGGGTTCAGAGTCAGACATGTCAGGTTTCAAATCCTTGGATTCCTTTTTAAAAAGACACTATGGTTACTGGAGTTCTTCTCCAGCCAGAACTTGTCTCTCTTCTCTCAGCCCCTTCTCCCTGGTTTCAGTCTTTCAGCCCCCTTCACTTCCCCCTCAGGTGGACTGTCTTCTGCCTGCTGCCTTAGCACAGCTGTAGCTCACACTTTCAGTCTCTCCAACTCCCTCACCCCCTGGCTGGGAGCTGCATGGAATGAAAAGCTCCTCTGTCCACCAGGAGCTGCTGCAGGGAGATTTCTCTTGGCTGTCATAGGCAGTCTGGCTAGGAGTGGGATGGACTCCTATATGTCAGGAGTCAGATTTCAAGAACTGCAGCAGGAAAGACACGTACACCATTGGCAAAAGAAAGAGAAATGTAAAGAATGTTATGATTACCCCCAATAAGAAACTTAAGGTGACAGTCGCATAAATGGATGTGATAGCCTCACGTTGCAGCATCAATATAAACGTAACAAAGACTAAATATATATCCTGAGTATTCAATGGCAATTACCTAGCCTAACACCATATTTATACCTTAGTGAAGACCCTCAGGAGACAAAGGAACCAGCCTCTCTCCGCAGATGGAACGGGGGTCTCAGTGAGAGATAAGAAGGTATGGTAGCAGAGAATATAAGTGTACTAGTACAGTAAAGGACAGTATGAAAGGCAAGAAGAGATAGGAGAACCGTCGACCTCGGGGAGAGCATTGATAGCATTTTATAGGCATTTTTACATCACCAATAGCCAAACCAAATGTAGATTTTCACACAAGATTTGAGCATGCACACATTTGATTGGAGAGAATACATCACATCCAAAAATGGGCAAGACACTGAATATTCTAAAAATTACTATTTATTGTTCACCTCTTGACTTGGTAAAACAGGACATGTTTCGTATATTTTTGTTCTTCGCTAGCACTCGAGCTCCCTTTGTGGTTTTGACCTGGCCTTATCAACAAGACTGGAAATTTCCACACTCAATAATAAGCTATATTCTGTAATTCTTACTTATAACCAACTCTATTGCCAAAGCTAACTTCTTACAAAAATAAGATTTCTGTAGGCCCCTTGCTTTACTACTAAAACAGAGTAAAACAGTTAAAAGGTTTAGGAAAGTATACAAGCTGCAGGCAAGGTTTAGGGGAAAATATAGGGTTATGGTCTACAGTTGCGGGAGGGAGGCGATTGTACGTTACTCTACTTTTGAGAGTTCAACTTTCATGACTGCACTACAGAACTTGTATTAGGTGAATAGATAAATACTAATTCTATTGGGTTTTTTTTACCATACAAATATTTGTAATAAAAATATAAAATTGAGCACTGTGCACTTTATTATGAATTGTAATAAAAATCAATATATTTGAAAATGTAGAAAAAATCCACAGATATTTAAATTAATGGTATTCTATTATTGTTTACCTGTGCAATTAATCACAATTATTTTTAATTGCTTGATAATAGGGATGTTAGATACAACGTACAGTAATTGAATAATTGTGTAACCACATCAAATTTTAGCTATTACATGAATATTTAATAATCCCCAGGGGTGGGGCCAGCAACCAGTATGCTCTCAGCCCCACTCCCATACAGCCACCTGCCATCCCCACTTCTGCCACTGTATCAGAGGCAGAAGTGCGGAGTGGCAGGTAGGAACTAGTCCATGAGAGGAGCCGGTTTAAAAACCGTCTCCCCGTGCAGACTGGTTCCCACCTGCTGCCCCACGCTGTAGCCTCTGATACAGATGCAGCAGCCCCCTGTCCACAGGAGGCCTGCGCTGCTGCAAGGGGGAAGGGCAAGTGGCTCCACAGAGCCAACACACACGGAAAGCCATCTTAAAAGCCTGCTCCCCAGGTGTATTGGCTCCCACCTGCACCCCATGTGCTGCTGCCTCTGATAGAGAGGCAGCAGCATGGAGGGGGATGGGGACTCTGGATTCCGTGGGATCCGGTGCTCCGGTGCTCGTGGAGAGCTGACTTAAAAAATGATTCCTCACAGGCACTTATCTCCCACCTCACTCCCTCTCCTTGCTGTTTCTGATACAGAGGCAACGAGATGGGGTGGAGGTTATCCAATAAGCCCAGGCTTATCGGTTATAGTCGACTATATGTTGACATCCCTACTTGATAGCCCTTAGTTGCAATTTCTTCCATCTCCCATCACATGGAATTTTTTTCTAGCTGTTGATTCATTTATAAAAATATATTAATTTGTATTAATATGTTAACTCTTTTGAGCTCTATTAAATTCTAGCTCTGCGCGTAGTTATGTAATATACATAAAATGCTTATGAACATGTTGTTCTGAACACTACTGTAAAAATCCATAATGTAATCATGAGAATAATTTCATTGTCTACCTAACCAGTTTTAGAATGTTTAAAGGAGGTGGTGAAGAAAGCTAAAATAAATGTGCTTTCTTTTCAGGAAACCATTTGACCTGTCTGCATTGGACTCCTAGAAAAAAAGCATGGTAAGTCAGGCACTTTTTAGATATATTGTTATATTTTGGGAGTTCAGTACTGAGAACTGGACCGCAGCTCTGCACCCAAATAATTTCACAATTCAGTTTATTGTAAAGAATTTGTGATATAAAAGGTCAGCTTCCCATTTCACTGATTTGTGTCCAATGTGCTGTGGAAAAGGAAATACGTCAGTTCTACTATTTCATGAGAGTTTAGGTTTTGCTCCTAGAACACTACATTCAGATTCCAGTTTGGGTAATGATTTTTGGTCATTTAATTTGGTCTCTGTTCCCACATGAAAAATGTGTTAAGGTTTTAAATACATATCTGGATTAAGTACTTATTACCCTTTTGATAAAGTTGGGGTTTAAAAAAAATTAAAAAAATAAATCCAGGAAATTCAGTGCAAGGTTTCATTTCACAAACAATATACAGATATTTTTTTTATTGTGGCTCCATAGAGATCTCAGCCAATTGTCTTGTTTTCTTTTTATGTAAAGTACTGAAAACATGCAACACAGAACACTAGTTTTGTAATCCTTTTCTGTAAATGTCTCTGTATCTACTAGCAAGTGTGATCCTTTCCCCCTACATTAATGTAAATCTTTCAGTATAAATGCTGTGATTTTGTAAACTGGGTATAGAGAGGTATGGTAGTGTCTTAGCTACTGAACAGCTAGCACACCCATTTGTGTGAAAACTCATGTATATTCCATTGAGGTTTTGAAAATAAGCAATCTGCATTCCCTCTAATATACATAACATACATTGTGAATAATCTAGAGCACAAACTGACTTGTGAATTAACACTATTGATTGGTTTTTTTTTCTCCCTTTAACTGCATATTTCACATCACTGAGAAAATTGAATTTTGCAGCCACCATCTTTCTGAGGCAGGACTATACAAGGACACTTTTTGCAGTTTATCAGTGCTAATTCAACCTGGCACTTGTTCCTTTCTACTGTAGACTGACAGTGCATGTACTATCATCTCATGAAATGAAACTGGCAGGAACTTGGATTACCAGCATGGGTGTGCCAAAATATGACCGACTAGGCTATTTTTAACTCTCATCTTTGAGCTGAGAAAGTTGGTCTGGTTCACAGAGATGAAAAATATATGTAGCTGATCAGGATGTCGGCGCACAGATGACTACACAATTAACCGATAAGCCTGGGTTAATCCTGTTGACTACATGCATCCTCCTCCCCCACTCCCTTCCACACTGCATCTGTATCAGACGCAGCAAGTGGAGGGGAGGCAGGAGCTGGTGCCTGTGGGCTGATAGAAAGGCAGCAGTGCAGAAGGTGGGGGGGACGGGACAGGCGGGAGCCAATACGTGCGGGGAACCAGCTTTTAAGCCAGCTCACCATGAGTGCTGGCTCCACGGACCTACGTGCCCCCTCTTGCTATCTCCACAGACAAGGGCTGCTACCATGGAGCAGCTTCTGTCTGCGGGAAGCTCAGATCCTCTCGCAGACAGGGGCTGATGCCACCCTGTGCTGCAGTCTCTGTATCAGAGGCAGCAGCACAGACGGGGCAGCAAGCAGGAGTCAATCTGTGCAGGAAGCAGGTTTTTAAGCCAGCTTCCCTCACAGACCGGCTCCCTCCTGCCACCCCATGCTGTTGCCTCTGATAGCTTCTGATCCCACCCCTGGAGACTATTAAATAGTTGTGTAACCGCTAAAATTTGATTGTGCAGCTATTCAGTTATATGCCCTCTAACATCCCTAGTAGCTGAGCTTTCTTATCCCTCTGAAGATCACCTTGTTAGTTCTTTTTAATTACAGGCCTTATTCACATGAGGTCAAATCTCTTTCTCTTGACTTCACTGGGGATATGGACAGGTCCATGGGACACAGTTTTGCTCCTCAGAGTGATGCTTGGTGACAGCACATTGAGAGGCTCTGAACATTAATCCTATATATTTGTTCCCAGTCTTACTGACAACTTATTTTTAACTAGCTTTTGGATGCTGAACTGCTTTTTTGTGTCTATGAGATTCCATGTGTATGAGCTCAGGGAATTCACATAATTTAGCAACAAATCCAAATTGTGACCTCCATCTTAACTTCACACAAATAGTTAATTGGAAATGGAAATGCATTTATGTCTGCAGGCTGACTAATAAATAGAGCAGAAGTGGTAGCTTGCAGACTGATTTAGAATCAAAATGTTGGTTTAATTTTCTTGTCTTTCATTCTCAGGCTGTCACACTGCACACTGATGTGGGAGATATTAAAATAGAGATATTTTGTGAGCGAACCCCAAAGGCCTGTGAAGTGAGTAATATGACAAGACTGGGATTTTTTAGTATTGAAAGGAGACAAATAAGGTGGGACATGATAGAAACAAAATAATGAATGGCATAGAGAAAATAAATGTGGCGTTTCCATTTACCCTTTTTTTATAATACGAGAACATTCAATGAATATGAAAAGGAACAAATGTAAAATGTATTACTTTTCCTACAGTGCATAATTAATCTGTGGAATTCATTGCCTCAAGATTATCATTAAATCTTAGAGTTAGTAAGATTAGACATTTATATTGAAAATGAAAACATGATTATACTAGACAGGCTACAAATGATACAAAGCAGGATGTAAACCTTCATGCTTCAAGGCATAAGATAACAGCTGTGAAGAAAACTCCTCTATGGCCAGATTATTCCACAGTTGCAAATGTTGAGGCTTCTTACACCTTCTTCTTTAATATCTATTATAGTGCATTGCCAGAGATGGGATTCTGGACTAGATGGACCACAAGTGTGTTGTGATATGGCACACATCCTGTGAGAGACTAGTGTAGAGCTCTGATTTGGGACCAGGATTTCATGGCTCCTGCAGGACCTGTTGCCATAACAACAGGAGCAGGATTAAAAATAGTCTCCAGTGTGGCATTTCTTATATTTTTTATGGACCTGAACCCCAAAAGATTTGCACGTGCTTAATTTTAAGCAGTAAAAGTAGATCTGTTGACTTCAGTTAGACTACTCATAGCTCCTAGAGTAAGCGCGCGCACACATTTTTGCAGAATAGTAGCCTGTATAATAAAATAGGCTTACAGGACCCATTATCTAACTCCATATCCTAACAAGTAACCCCACTTTGCAATGTTCTGTTATCAGTGTGTGGGAAGAATAAAAAAGATAAAACGAGTTTTTAAAAAAAGAGAAAATTGGCTATCTTAACTTTTGTTCTGGTTTGTTTGGGGGTTTTTTTCCTGCAAAGCTTTATCTTTTATTAAATTACTCTTGGGTAGTCCCTGTCTGAATATAAATAAAACACTGGTCTATATAGAGAAGAGTTTGTTCATGTAATGCAACCAGCTAGGGATGTTAAAATGCATGTATTCAGGTAAATGTGTAACTGCTGAAAATGTCAGCAGGTACAAGTTTACACACGGAGGGGGGAGGTGACTCCCTGGGAACCAGTGCACTCAGGGAGATGGCTTTAAAGCCAGCTCTCCACATGTACCTGCGGAGCTGCCTGTCCCCCACCTCACACTCTCACACTGCTCCCTCTGATACAGAGGCAGCAACTGGTGGGGAGAAGCCCTGCATGTAACCCTGAAAATTTACCGTTGAGCCAAGGCTCATCAGTAAACTGTTTACACTATCATATCCCTGCAACCAATCAATGATTTGTGTTCATTAGATATTTTTTCCTCTCTATATAGGGTCTGCAGAAAATCACCAATCCTCATGCATTGGTTTTGGTGTAAAAAGTATCAATCTATCTTTTATTATTCCTGGCACAGTTTGTTTTTGGTAAGTTTTTAAGACGCAAGGGAGAAGTAATGAGGAATCATAAAGAACTGATTTTTTTAAATGTATTTCAATAGCCAGTAACAGTCAGAGATAAGCGTGATAGCATAGTATGCTCACAATACAAACCTCTTTCCTTTGAGTGTTCCTCTCAGAATAGCATGTTTCCAGTATGGAACACGTTACTGCTGGCCTGCTTCTTAAATTAATACTTTTGCTCTTCCTACAGAACTTCCTGGCTCTCTGTGCTAGTAACTACTACAATGGTTGCATATTTCACCGGAATATCAAAGGATTCATGGTACAGACAGGGGATCCAACAGGTAAATCCTTCCATCAATGTCTAGTATATTGAGCCCTAGATCAAAGGTGGGAGGCAAGATAAGTAACACCAATGGTGAAAGAAACTTTCATGATCTGGGTACATTTCCATGGAAAGATTTCAGATAAAAAAACCATCCATTCTGGATTAAAAATATTAATACTAGTCATATAGCTAATTATATCTTCAGCTCACTGTAAAAATTGTAATCCTTTCGATCATAGAACCATAGAGCTGGAAAAGACCTCAGAAGGTCATCAAATCCAGCCCCCTACTCTAGGCAGGACCAATCCCAGCCAAGGCTGTGTCAAGCTGAGATTTAAACACCACTAGGGATGGAGACTCCACTACTTCTCTAGGTAACCCATTCCAGTGCTTCACTACCCTCCTAGTGAAATAGTTTTTCCTAATATCCAATCTAGACCTCTCCCACCGCAACTTGAGACCACTGCTCCTTGTTCTGCCATCTGTCACTACTGAGAACAGCCTCTCTCCATCCTCTTTGGAACCTACCTTCAGAAAGTTGAAAGCTGTTATCAAATCCCCCCTCACTCTTCGCTTCTGCAGACTAAACAGACCCAAGTCCCTCAGCCTCTCCTCATAAGTCATATGCTCCAGCCCCCTAATCATTTTGGTTGCCCTCTGCTAGACCCTCTCCAACGTGTCCACATACTTTTTGTAGTGGGAGGGGGTCCAGAACTGGACACAATACTCCAGATGTGACCTCACCAGAGACAAATAAAGGGGAATAATGACATCTCTGGATCTGCTGGCAATGCTCCTCTTAATGCAACCTAATATGTCATTAGCCTTCTTGGCTACAAGGGCACGCTGTTGACTCATATCCAGCTTCTCATCCACTGTAACCCCCAGGTCCTTTTCTGCAGAACTACTACTTAGCTGGTTGGTCCCCAGCCTATAACAGTGCTTGGGATTCTTCTGTCCCAAGTGCAGGATTCTGCACTTGTCCTTGTTGAACCTCATCAGATTTCTTGTGGCCCAATCCTCCAATTTGTTTAAGTCACTCTGGACCCTATCTCTGCCCTCAAGTGTTTCTACCTCTCCCCCTAGCTTAGTGTCATCTGCAGACTTGCTGAGGGTGCAAGCCATCCCCTCATCCAGGTAATTAATAAAGATATTGAACAAAACCGGTCCTAGAACCGAACCTTGGGGCACTCCGCTAGAAATCGACTGCATTCCTGACATCGAGCCGTTGATCACTACCTGCTGGGCCTGGCCTTCTAGCCTGGCCTTCTATCCATCTTACCGTCCATTTACCCAATCCACATTCCCTTAACTTGCTGGCAAGAATATTGTGGGAGACCGTATTGAAAGCCTTGCTAAAGTCAAGGTATATCACATCCACTGTCTTACCCATGTCCACAGAGCCAGTTACCTCATCATAGAAGCTAATCAGATTGGTCAGGCACGACTTGCCCTTTGTGAATCCATGCTGACTATTCCTGATCACTTTCCTCTCTTCCAAGTGCCCCAAAATAGATTCCTTAAGGATCCCTTCCATGATTTTTCCAGGAACCGAGGTAGAACTGACTGTCCTATAGTTCCCTGGATCGTCCTTCTACCCTTTTTTGAAGATGGGCACTACATTTGCTTTTTTCCAATCATCCGAGATCTCTCCTGATGTCCACGACTTTTCAAAGATAATGGCCAAAGACTCCTCAATGACATTTGCCAACTCCCTCAGTACCCTCGGATGCATTAAGTCCAGACCCATGGATTTGTGTAAGTTTAGCTTTTCTAAATAGTTCCTAACCTGTTCTTTACCCACCAAGGGCTGTCCATCTTCATGGGAGGGAGCGTGGGCTACAATGGCAGAGAGAAAGGAGGGTCAGGGCAAAACTAGGAGGCAAGGTCAAATCAGGATCTTAGATGCCTATCTACAAATGCGAGAAGTATGGGAAATAAGCAGGAAGAACTGGAAGTGCTAATAAATAAGTACAATTATGACATTGTTGGCATCACAGAAACTTGGTGGGATAATACACATGGTTGGAATGTTTGTATGGAAGGGTACAGCTTGCTTAGGAAGGATAGACAGGGAAAAAAGGGAGGAGGTGTTGCCTTACACATTAAAAATGAACACACTTGGAGTGAAGTGGAGATGGACATAGGAAAAGGAAGCGTTGAGAGTCTCTGGGTTAAGCTAAAAGGGATTAAAAACAAAGGTGATGTCATGCTAGGAGTAAACTATAGGCCACCTACCCAGCTGGAAGAAGTGAATGAGGCTTTTTTTAAACAACTAACAAACTCATCCAAAGCCCAAGATTTGGTGGTGATGGGGGACTTCAAGGGTGTGTCTAAACTACATGGCTCCATCAATGGAGCCAGATAGATTAGTCTGATCGGCAGAGGGAAATGAAGCCGCGATTTAAATAGGTCCCTAGTTCTAGTATTCTATGATTCTATCCCATCTTGCGTCACTTAGTGCATTAGTCCGGGAACCAACCTTGTCCGTGAATACAGAGGCAAAGAAAGCATTGAGTACTTCAGCTTTCCCCTCATCATCTGTCACTAGGTTACCTCCTTCATCCAGTAGGGACCCCATACCCTCTCTAATCACCTTCTTCTTGTTAACATGCTTGTAGAAACCTTTCTTGTTATCCTTCACATCCTTTGCCAGTCGCAATTCCAGTTGCGCTTTCGCCTTCCTGATAACCCCTCGACATTCTCAAGCTATACCTTTAAACTCCTCTCTGGTCATTTGTCCAAGTTTCCACTTTTTGTGAGCTTCCTTTTTGTGCTTAAGTTCACCAAGGATTTCCCCCATAAGCCAATCCGGTCTCCTACCATGTTTGCCTCTCTTGCTACGCATCGGGATG